GGCCGTTTAGGGGTTTCGGGTTTAGGGTTTAGGGTTTGGGGTTTAGGGTTTAGGGCTTGGAGTTTAAGTTTCAGGAATTGGGGTTTAGGGTCCTAGGCGTAGGGCTTAGGACTTGGGGTTTAGGGTCGAGGGCTTGGGGCTTGGGACTTGGGGTTTAGGGTTTCGGGGTTTTCACAAAACCCTAAACCCTAAACTAAAAACCCTGGACCCTAGACCCTAAACCCTAAACCCTAGACGGTAAACCGTAAACCGTAAAACGTAAACCCTAAACTAAAGACCCTAAACCCTAAACCCTAAACCCTAAACCCTAAACCCTAAACCCTAAACCCTAAACCCTAAACCCTAAACCCTAAACCCTAAACCCTAAACCCTAAACCCTAAACCCTAAACCCTAACCCTCAGGTTCCTAAGGTGGAGGGAGTCAAGGCGAAGCAAGCTCGGGCACAAGACTCCTTAGCGGCATCGGCTTTTCGAACCGAAGACCCCCCAAGCCCCGACCCGCCAAGCCCAAAAATCTTTAGGGTTTAGGGTTTAGGGTTTAGGGTTTAGGGTTTAGGGTTTAGGGTTTAGGGACCCTTTTCCCGACGTGGAGGGGATTTCGGCACCCCAACTTGGCTTGCCAGTCGTTTCCACTCTGGCGCCCTTGAGCAAACAAGCTGCAACTCCAAACCCTAAACCCTAAACCCTAAACCCTAAACCCCAAACCCCAAACCCCAAACCCTAAACCCTAAACCCTGGAACCCTGAGCAGCCCTACCCGCCACAAAGGAATCCGGAGCCTGAGCCCTAAGCCGAGGGCCTTTCAGGGCGTGCACAAAATATGGGCGCTCGGGTTGAGGGTGGATCGATTCGTGCTTCTATGGCTTTCTTCACCCTAAACGACCCTAAACCCTAAACCCTGAAACCCTGAAACCCTGAAGCCCAAACCCGCAACCCTGAAACCTTAAGTCTACAAGCCCAGTATCCCTAAACCCTAAACCCTAAACCCTATAAACCCTATAAACCCTATAAACCCTAAACCCTACAGGCCTCGCCTGCTCCGCCGGCCGGGTTCCGAGGGAGACGTGGAGCAGCGCCCAGAGGACGCTGCGGAGCATGAGGCCCAGTCCATGACAGGGGCTTCTTGGGACGCCTTAAAACCCTGAAACCCCCTGTAAATCCCACTTAAACCCCCCTAAACCCTAAACTCCTCTTGAAACCCTCTTAAAACCCTCTTTAAAACCCCTTAAAACCCCCCAAACCCCGAAACCCGACACCCTGAACCCCCAAAGCCCTAGTCCCTAAGCAACCAAAAATCCCCTAAACACCCTGGTTCCCCAAGCCCCAGAAGCGCTAAAGATCCCTAAGCCCCCCCCGAAACCCCTAAGCAAGGGTTTAGGGTTTAGGGTTTAGGGCTTAGGGTTTAGGGTTTAGGGTTTAGGGTTTAGGGTTCAGGGTTTAGGGACCTATACGATAAACCAGTTCTGGGCACTTGACCAAAGAGAGCTTTGGTACTGCTGAAGAGGGTCATGCTTGAGGGAGTTGCAGCAGACATAGACGTGCTTTACTCTGCGGATGACTGAGACACCGCGGCCCTTGCACAAGGTTCATTGATTCATTGTAGGCTTCGGGGTTTTGGGGCTTGAGGGCTGTCGAGCTTCGAGCCAAACTTTGTCAGGCGTTAGAGTTTAGGGTTCAGGGCTTTTTTTGCTATTGAGAGGGTTTCGCGTTCAGGGCTTAGTGCATAGGATGTAGGTTGGTGATCGGTGGTTGTTCGCATGTTCTCGGCAATGAATGCTATGACGTCTGCATGTTTGAAGCTGCTAATTCCAATTCCAACCCCTGTTCTCCGCCCCCCCCCTCCCCCTCCCCCCCCAAGCCCCCAAGCCGGGACATGCGCACCGAACAACCTAGACAACGCCATAACCTGTTGCAACGAACTGCCCCTAACTCCTACAGATAACAGCCTCATGCCCTCAAAGGTCCCTTTCAAACCACCTTATGAAATCCGACCTGCTGCACACCCTAGCCCGAGACCAAGCAAGACACATTTGGGGTACTCAGTGCTGTGATGAGCTCTCGTACAGGTGCTTAGTGCTTGCATTTCTATATTTATACATCTGTTCTACATGGCGATTGACAAACATAAATGCCTATATATACATATATGTATATATAGATATAGATATAGACACATGTGCATTCGGGTTGAGGGTTAAATAGGGGGGTTCCGGCGAAATCAAAACTGCCGCAGCCGATAAACAAATGACAACAGCCCTGAAAGGATCTAAACCTCGACATGTCAGATGGCAGCCCGTGGGAGTGCGCGGACCGCGCCGGTACGGATGCGCCTGGCACGGCGTGTGCTGTCAGAGCCGAGATGTGGCCCAAAAATTGGGATTCAGGCCTTCGGGGTTTAGGGGGGTCTGGGGGTGTTGAGTTTTACGGGTGGGTTCGAGGGAGTGCGGGGGTTTGCGGGGGTTTAAGGTCTTGGGGTTCGAGGGTTCGAGGGTTCAGGGTTCGACAAGGTTCGAGGGTTCCAGGCTGCAGGGGAAAACGACTGGAGCCGAGAAAAGCTTTGCTGGACTAAGCAGCAGCCTTACACCCTGAAACCCCCTTCTTGGTCAGGTCCTGTCGCCTTATCATCCTTGTATGTAGGTTTATGATAACAAGGGACCCCAAACCCTGGACCCCATACCAGGATCCCGTATAACAAGGACCACCCTAAACCCTCAATCCTAAACCCTAAACACTGGTGAATAGTAGGATCCCATAACACAAGGGCCACCCTAAACCCAACACCCTAAACCCTAAACCCCGAAACCCAGTTTCGAACCCCAAACCCCAAACCCTAAACCCCAAACCCGAAAGCCTAAACCCCTAAACCCTAAACCCCCCCCACCCCCCCCCCGCCCCCCCCCATTAAGGCCGAGGGGCAGGGAACCAAGCGACGGGCACTGCGTCGACCCGAGGGCTCCTTTTGGGAGGCATCGATTCCGGGGTTTAGGGTTTAGGGTTTAGGGTTTAGGGTTGAGGGCTTAGGGTTTAGGGTTTAGGGTAGGGGGTATAGGGTAGGGGGTATAGGGTATGGGGTTTAGGGCTTAGGGTCTCAGACCTGGCTGATTTCTCTGGCCCAAGCTTGGCGATGTAGGGTTTGGGGGCAGTTGTAGCCGTAGAGTCCCCCCCGCCCCCCCACGCCCACGAAAAAACAACCACAAGGGCCTTGGGTTTAGGGATAGCTGCTGCCTCGGTCCACTACTGGCATCTGCTGCAAAGATCAAGGACCAGCGCTTATCCACCCAGGCTTTCAATCCCCACTGACACCCTTCAGTAGTGTGGCAAACGACGGCAAGAATCTGCCCTAAACCCTAAACCCTAAACCCTAAACCCTAAACCCTAAACCCTAAACCCTAAACCCTAAACCCTAAACCCTAAACCCTAAACCCTAAACCCTACACCCAACTGTCTACTTCAGGAGGGAGGCCTTGTCATCGGAAGGACCAGGGTTCAGGCTCTTGGAGCGGCATTGAACCCTGAACCCTAACGCCCTAAAGGGCCCTTGACTCCTCCCAACACTCATAATGCCCCCACATGCCCTGTAGATGCAAACCTCCTCAACCCCCTACAAGAGGGTTTAAGGTTTATGATGGTATTTTGAATCCCTAAAACTTTGAACCCCTTAAGCAAGAAACTGAAGCAAAGAGGCTTCTTATACAAACCCTCTTTGCATTTAAACCCCTAAAGCCTTGAACCCCTAAACCCTTAACCCGAAGCCCTAAGCCCTAAACCATAAACCCTAAACCGAGAGCCCTCCGCGTCCTGGGGTCCGACCATGGCAGCGGAAGGCACCTGCGCGACATTTCCACAGAGGAGAAATGAAGCATTTTGGGTTGAGAGAGTCTCCAGGTTTAAGCACCTGACCTAAACTAAACACTAAACCCTAAACCCGAAACCCTAAACGTTTAAACCCCCTGAGTGCTAGGTGTGGGATTTCGGAGGGCTTCGGAGCGGGCTAAGGGCTTTAGGGTTTGGGGCTTTGGGGGGGTTTGGGGGTTTAGGGGGTTGGCTTTGGAGGGGGGTAGAAGGGCTTAAGGGGTTTATCCTAACACCCTAAAACCCTAAACCCTAAACCCTAAACCCTAAACCCGAAACGGCCCTAGAAGGGGCCAAGGCTCACAAGAAGGTCAGCTTGGAAGCCGTTGTGGCTCAAAAGGTTGGGTGAGTGAGCTCCAGCAAGACTTTGGAGTTTAGGTTTAGGGTTTAGGGTTTAGGGTTTAGGGTTTAGGGTTTAGGGTTTAGGGTTTAGGGTTTAGGGTTTAGGGTTTAGGGTTTAGGGTTTAGGGAGTGAGCTCCAGTAAGAATTTAGGGTTTGAGGTTTTCGGGCAGGGGTTTAGGGCTTCTATAAGGAACAGGAGGTGGTTGAGGGTTTGGGGTCTTAGGCTTGGGATGTTCCCCCCTTATACTCACAGTCCTTAATAAGGATGTAGTACTCCCTGTTCTAATCCCTGTTAAGGATTGTTAGTATAAGGGGGAACATCCCAAGTTTTAGGGTTACGGCTGGGGGTCTTCGACTTTTTGTTTCAGGTTTTCAGGTTCAGGGCTTAGGGACTGCGATCGCAGCGTGGCAAATTCCACACACCCCAGACCTTAAAGGCTTAGGGTTTCCAAGCTTGGTGGTGTAAGGTTTAGGGCGCACCTCTCGCACCCCCAATTCTACCCAATGTTAGTGGTCAATGAGGGGTTCTTTTGGGAGTACCCTGTGTACTTTGAGCACTCTATATTTGGGTACCAGAATCTAAATCCCCCGCAAAGAATGGCCTACGCAGAAGATGCTCTATTTTTGGGCTATTGCCTAGACCCAAGTACCCTTTCAGATACCCAGTGAGGGTACACTCAGGCCCCCTTTAACAGGGGGGTTGCTTGGAGGTTGTAGCTTGGGGTGGGGGTGGGGCTGCCCTAAACCCTAAACTCTAGAGACGCCTGTTTTGTACCACTCGCAAAGCTGTGGCGGGTCTCAGGGCTTCACTTGCCCTTGGCAAACTTCTTGACGTTTGCCTGGGGCACACAGGCCCCCCTCTTCCCCCCGCCCCCCCAGGACTCAAGACTTGCCCTAAACCCTAAACCCTAAACCCCAGGCCCTAAAACCCTAGGCCCTAAAACCCTAAACCCTACACCCTACACCCTAAACCGCTTGAAGCCCTGAATCCTATCCCTCTGTGCCAAAGACGAGCAAGTCTGCACCAGGACTCTTTGCCTAGCAGCATGGGAAACTCAACGTCAAGCCCGCAAAAGCCCCAAAAGCATACAAAGCAAACAGCCCTAAACCCTAAACCCCAAACTCCAAACTCTAAACCCCAAACCCTAAACCCTAAGCCCAGCCCGAAAAGCCCCTGAAGCCACCGATGATGTAGGGTTAAAATGCAGGCCTGGGCTCGGAGGGGGATCGATTCGGCTCGGGAGCGTGTTTGAGCAGGGATGAGTTTACGGTTTAGGGTTAAGGGTTTGGGGTTTGGGGTTTGTTCAGGGTTTGTTGGGGGTTTGTTGGGGGTTGTAGGGTTTTTGGGGGGTTCTGGGGTTGGGGGTTAGGGTTTTAGGGCTTTAGGGCCTTTCGGGCTTTTGGGATTTAAGTTCTCAGGGGTTTGCAGGCTTGAAGGCTGCAAGCTTTTCGGCTGCTAGGGCATCAGGGTTTAGGGCTTTGGGCTTCGGGCTTCGGGATGCTTCTGCATACAAGCACAGCAGGAGACAGCTCGAACGCGCAAAGCCCTGCCCCACAGCAGCCAACTCCATGAGAAGCCGCAGGAACTCCCAAAGAACCAGACCCAGGAGTAACCTGGGAATAGAAGGGGTGCCCCTTTTGGTTGAAAGGGGCTTAAACACGGCACCTTCACCCTTAAAAAAACAAGGAATAAGGGCCTACTTTGGGTCCTAGACTCTGCAACCCTAAACCCTAAACCCTATTATAAACCCTACACCCTAAACCCTTAACCCTCTGCCACCTCCCTCTAAAGGCGCCTGCCTGTGAGGCATCGGATGCGAACATGTCCAGCCTGGAGACACGCTTCTGCTCAAAGTCGGTTCAGGGTTCAGGGTTTGGGGTTTAGGGTTTGTAGGGGGACAGCTGTGATATCCAAAGTCTGGGTCTTGCCATGTACGACCTAAGCACTTACCATTCCAAGGAGTTCGCCCTACACCTAAACATCCCCAAACCCTGAACCCAAAGCCCTAAACCCCAACATACAGCTTAAAGGATCTGCTGAGGTCCTCTTTGCAAGCTCAGGCCCAGGCATTGCAGGCTCGGTCGCGCGATACTTCCTGGGGAGAGGAATAAACCCCTAAACCCTCGGAAGGCTAAAGCTTGAGGGATCTTCGTCTAGTTTCTCGTACTATTACTACCCCAATTACTACCCCGCATACACACATGCAATGCTTCTATGATATTCTTCGCCATATACTGTGAACAAATTCAGGGAAGTAAAATGGTCGCAACGGTTTTCCCGCTTCTCTGAATAGGAGTATTTCGTGATAGCGCGAGGGTCTTCATGCTGCTTTGACTCTCCTAATTTTGCACGCAGGAGGGGGAGCAGGATACGCTTCAGGGTTGGTAGACATAGGGCCGTGCCTGGAACGAGATGGACCATGCACCTATACTACATTCTTTACTTACAAAGACCCAACATATCTCTTTCTCTCTCTCGCTCTCTCCCTCTCTCTCTCTCATATACTTAAGAGCTGCTAACAGAAGCGAGACCCATCAAGGAACACAACTTGGATCGACACCATATTGCGGGGGCGGGGGGGGGGGGGGAGAAGTGAGTATGGCCAGCTATTCCGCTCAAGCGCGGTCGATCCAAATCACAGGATCCCAATGGGTAACCGAAACCCCCAGAACAAAGGCTATAGGGATTATAGGGTTTATAGGGTGCATAGGGTTTAGAGGGTTATAGGGCTTACAGGGTTTATGTCTATGGGGGATCCTAGGGTTAATCGGGTTTACTGTGCGGAAACACGACTAAAATACTTAGGGACTATATTCGGGCATACGAAGGGATAGGAGCTGCCCAAATATACTAGTGTTATCCGGTCCTAACTAGGATCACCGAAAGAAAAAACGGCACAACCCCAAGATCGAGCCTTCAGTCCTAAATCCTGAACCGCAAACGGCAAGACCTAATCCCTAATCCCTAAACCCTAAACCCTAAACCCCAACTAAACCCAGAAAACCTGGAACCTGAAACCCTAAACCCATGCCCACACAACTGGTACGCCATAGACGATCTAAGCCCTGAGCCCTAAACCCTAAATGCTAAACCCTAAACCCAGAACCCCTAAGAAACCAACACAAATGACACCGTTAACGATGATCTAAGCCGAGAATCTCTGCCAGGGTTGGCTTCGCGGCTTGCCTTTGTCGGGGAAAGGGAGCACAAGTTGACACTCCCTTGGGCGTGCTGCGGTTAAGGCTTTAGGGTGTAGGGTTTAGGGTTTAGGGTTTGGGGTTTGGGGTTTGGGGTCTAGGGCCTAGGACAAACAGCTTCGGAAAATCTGCTGCCCAAGTTGCTCATAGAGGAGCAGCTTGCCTGCACACTTGCAGAGCTGTGAAGGAGGTTAGGAACCATACTTAGAGCCCATGAAACTACCCTAAGATGATATACCCTAAACCCTAAACCCTAAACCCTAAACCCTAAACCCTAAACCCTAAACCCTAAAAAACAAGGGTTCGGTGCTGCAACGCCCTTAGGAGCGAAGCCTGAGTTGGCACCTTCCGGAGGCAGCCCAAGGTTTAGGGTTTGGGGTTTAGAGGTTGAGGGTTTAGGGTTTAGAGGTTTAGGGTTTAGGGGGTTTAGAGGTTTAGGGTTTGGGGTTTAGAGGTTTAGGGTTGAGGGTTTAGGGTTTAGGGTTGAGGGTTTAGAGGTATAGGGTTGAGGGTTTAGAGGTTTAGGGTTTGGGGGGTTTAGAGGTTTAGGGTTTGGGGTTTAGAGGTTTAGGGTTTAGGGTTTAGGGTTTAGGGGGTTTAGAGGTTTAGGGTTGAGGGTTTAGAGGTTTAGGGTTGAGGGTATAGAGGTTTAGGGTTTGGAGTTTAGAGGTTTAGGGTTTGGGGTTGAGAGGTTTAGGGTTTGGGGTTGAGAGGTTTAGGGTTTGGGGTTTAGAGGTTTAGGGTTTGGGGTTTAGACGTTTAGGGTTGAGGGTTTCGGGTTTAGGGGTCTTGGCCGGGGGGCGGCGTTGGTAGAGATTTGAGTGCTTCATGTAGGGGGTCCTATAAGGAAACAGGTACCCAAAAAACGCGGTTTGTTTCGTGAACTTTTGGATAGGTTTGAGTGTTTTTTTTTTTTTTTTTTGGGGGGGGGGGTTGGTTACGACCATGGTACTCTATCCATGCCCAAAACCCTGGTATTTACAGCGTTTTTGCTCCTCTACACAACATGCTGCACCAGGACGTTTGACGTTTCTGTGACAAGACGCACTGTCACAAGGCTTATGCCAACGGTGTGTCGTCATGACGCTCGAACCACTAACAACTGCCACTACTAGCAACAAAAAAGGAAAACATGCACAACACTGACCCTTGTGTGCATGTCGAAAAACATCGTAAAAACCATGGTTTTATGTGCTTGTTTGCCGCCATTGCGCCCTTTCACTAGAACGCCCGAAGTGAAAGCAGTGATGTGTACTTCTGTGTCAGATATTCCAGATTTTTGTAGGTTCACAAGATAACAAAACATTCAAAAAAGACATCGGTTTTTACAGTGTTTCTTGCTGTAGGACATCCTAACCGAATTCTCGCGTTCCTGAAAAATGTACATGCAGACTGTGCTCGAGAAGCTAAACCCGCGCGAAAACAGCGTCCGAACCTCCAAGTCACCAGGGTTTTTTGGGTACCTGTGGCCTCCTATAGGGCTGGAGGCAAGTGGCTCTTCAGATATCAGGAGCCCCTCAGCCCTCAACAGAAAAAAAAAATCAACCCCAAAGCCCTAAACTTTAAACCCAAAGGCCCCGCCCGAAGCCCTACGAACCCTACAAGTCCCACACCTGCATCGGAGACTCCTGAGGCGACATGAAAGCTCCTTCCATGGGTTCCCATACTACCCCCCTCTACACTATGCCCTCCTAGGTTCCTCCTTAAGAAGGCTCCATTCTCCCTAAATAGCCTTGATTCTGGGGGGAACCTAGGGGGCTAGTAGGGGAACCCATGATCCAACAGGGAAGATCCGAAGTTCCCCTGAGCCCTAAACCCTATCACTCAAAACAGTCAGCCCTATGAACCCTATGAACCCTATGAACCCTCCAAACCCTCTAAACTCAATTTTCCCCTATAAACCAAAAATGCAACCTCAGGGGCTGAATGCACTAGCCCAAAAAAGGCTAGGCGGTCACGGGGTTGGGGTTTAGGGTTACAGTAGGATTCGATATAACCATAAAGGTTAAAGGTTACCTACAAGTCCCAGCGTCCTAGGTAGGGCCTCGCTGGAGATTCTCCGGCGTGATCGCTGCAATCTTCTCGGCCAAACGCCTGGCCTGCAGGGGATATCTAAGGGAAATATTCGGGTTGAGGGGCACCCTTAAAAGAAGGGTACTATCATCGGAATGTCTGATCTGGCCTGTCTAGGGGGTAGGGGTCTCTAGGAGAGTCCTGCACCCTAATTGAACCCTAAACCCGGATTACATTTTGGGGGTTGTAGCTCCGGAGGTTGGCTTAGCATCTTGGTCTTCCGCGCCTTTTTGGGGTTTGGGTTCCAAAGGGTGTTGGGATGACCATGTTGCGAAGAGAAGTCCAGAGCCTCAAGGTTGAGGGTTGAGGGTTGAGGGTTTAGGGTTTAGGGTTCAGGGCCTCCTATAACCACACAAAGGTGAAACTCTGGAGAACCCTGCCCCCCCTGAGCCCTCAACCCCCAACCCTCTGAACCCTGGACTAACAGATTCCACAGTCCTAACCCACCGCCCCCACTTCTCTCCCCTAAATCCTCTCCCTAAACCCTAAACCCTAAACCCTAACCCAGAGACCCTGAACTCCAAGGTATAAGCCGGGGGCCTCGGCAAAGAGCGTCACGCGGGGGACCACGCGATTCACCAAACCTTTCGTGGGTTCGGGGACGGGAGTTTACACCCTAAACCCTAAACCCTAAACCCTAAAACCTAAACCCTAAACCCTAAACCCTAAACCCTAAACCCTAAACCCTAAACCCTAAACCCATAGGGCTCAGGGTTTAGCCTTCGAAGGGACTCATTCTGATGAACTCGCAACGTTAGCGAACTTGTTGACAATAGGGATGGAGGTCGTGAGTCGAAGAAGCCACTCCCCTCTGATCCTATAAACCCTACATGAGAGGATTAGGGTTTAGGTTTATAGGGTGGCCCTATAAACCCCGTGCCCCCAAAATACTGTATCTGGGACACTCTTCACCTACAGATTAGCAGTGTCGCCCCGGGATCGGTAGGTAGAACCATTCGCGGGTAACCCTAAACCCTAAACCCTAAACTCTAAACCCTAAACCCTAAACCCTAAACGCTAGAGTCCCGGCAAGCTTTGAGACGGTCCACAACGAAACTTGGGATGTTGTATACTAACAATCCTTCATAGGGATTTGAATAGGGGGGTTTAGGGTTTAGGGTTTAGGGTTTAGGGTTTAGGGTTTAGGGTTTAGGGTTTAGGGTTTAGGTGTACTATCAGCCCTATTAAGGAATGTATGTTCTCCCTTCTTCTAGCATTCCCTAGTAGGGATTCTAGTGCCCCCTATGATCATCTTTAAACCCTCAACCCTAAACCCTAAACCCTAAACCCTAAACCCTAAACCCCAAAAGGGCTGTTCGTATTAGGGGGAACATCCCAAAACGAAACCCTCGAATCCACGAATGCCCAAGGAAACTCTGGGTCTCTGGGCCCATGCGCTCCGCGCGCTCAGCTGGCACCTGCAAAACCGGTGGGATGCAGAGGGTTCAAGGGGGGGGGGTTTAGGGTTTAGGGTTTAGGGTTTAGGGTTTGGGGTTTAGGGTTTAGGGTTTAGGGTTTAGGGTTTAGGGTTTAGGGTTTAGGGTTTGGGGGGTTTCAGGTGTGGGTTGTGGGCGGTTTGAGGGATCTAGTGGGACTTAGCGGGGTTTGGGCTTTGCAGCGGGTTCTTAAATAGGCTTCGAAGAGTTTCACATGGCTTGATGTGAGGGCTCTAGGACTCTTCTGATTTAGGGTTGTTGGGCTTGGATGGCTTTAGAGGCCCACGAAACATGAACCCCCCCCCCCCCCCCCGCCAAAAAAAAGCAGCAACAAAAACCCAAAACAAACAAAAGAAGCCCACAACCCAAAACAACAACCAAACCTCCCCCCCGCCAAAAAAAAAAGACTGCCTCAAGAAACAAAACAAAGAACCCCAGAAAACAAACAAACACACACACACACACCCACCAATCTGGAGTCGGCAGTCTCGTATAAGCCCTCCATGGAGGGGGGCCTCCTACAAAACACACTTGAAGGCCCAATATTAGGGTCAGTAGGGCTTACAAGGTACTATAGACGTGCCGCGGCGCCCGCTCGGCCAACAGCGCCATCTCCTAAGGCCAGCGCAGCAATCAGAACGCTAAAGGGTTTAGGGTTTAGGGTTTGGGGTTTAGGGTTTAGGGTTTGGGGGGTTGATGATAGTGGACTTTGGCGTTTGTAGGCTTTGGCATCAGAATGCGACCGGAAACACGTCTGGACTCTAGCAAATCAAAGAATGCAGCTTAAGGTTTGAGGTCTCTGGGCTCACCAAAACCCAGAACAAGCCTGAGCCACAAGAATTGCAACAAAACCCTGAACAAGCCTGAGCCACAAGAATTGCAACAAATTCCACCCTCCAGCCTAAGGTTTCTTGGAGGTGTGGCTGTTATAAACTCCAGCGTCCGCAATGCAAGGCAGCAGAACTGAAGGCGCCTCAAGTTGGCTGAGGCTTTCAGCCGTGGAACTGGCGGCAAGCCCTAAACCCTAAACCCTAAACCCTAAACCCAAAACCCTAAACCCTAAACCTTAAACCCTAAACCCTAAACCCTAAACCTTAAACCCTAAACCCTAAACCCTAAACCACCTCCTGCTTCCGAGGTGCCACTGCGAAGCGCAGCGAGGAGGCTCGAGCGGCCACAGAGACGGCCGGTGTGTGGCCTGACTTGCCGGCTGCTTGGGAGGAGAGTGGGTTTAGGGTTTAGGGTTTAGGGTTTAGGGTTTAGGGTTTAGGGTTTAGGGTTTAGGGTTTAGGGTTTAGGGTTTAGGGTTTAGGGTTTAGGGTTTAGGGTTTAGAGCTATGGCAGCTAACGGCAACCCTCCGTCGATCAAGGCAGGGGTGCGAGTGATGTGAGGCAAGCTCCGGTTTAAGGTTTAGGGTTTAGGGGCCACGTTGCCATGTGAGATTTTGCATCTACAGGCTCTCTGGATTATCTGCAATGGAAGGATGCGCCGTTTTGTCGCAAGGTTGCATGTTTGTATATGCGCACGCGCAGGTAGACAAATGTTAAGAATGTCGTGTTGCTTCTTGTGCTGGCACCAATGGGGTACAAAACCCAAACCTCAAATCACCCACCCAGGATTCCTAGGGTTTAGGGTTCAGGGAGCAAGAAAGCCGCGGTTACACAGGCCCCGGTTCCGCGGGAGTTGTCGCAAGCAGCCCTTGGCCCGTGTCCCCAACAAAGAGCACGGCAACCCAACAACACAGCGACGTTTGACGTGTCCGGAAGGATACGACAGCTTCGTTGTTGATTGGCATAGATCGCTGATCCTTCGGAGATGAGTTGAGGGTCTAGTGACTTAGTTTAGGCTTTAGATTCAACTGCGCGTCTACTTTTCAATTTGCACACGTGTGTTTGTGTATATGATGCTTTGAGTGCGCAGGGTTTAGATGCATGAGGGGTTCGGGATGTAGGGCGTCTAATTACTAAAGCCCAAGGCCCTGATGATAAGGTCACGCCTAGAAACCGGATGTCAATACCGGAAGGTTTTTGGGGCCGGGGTTTTGGCCCAAAAGCTTGTTTCATGAACGATTTCCATTCTGCTAGGTTGCTAAGAGCCTGTTTCTGCAAAAAGGGGTGTCAATACCGGAAAATATTCCGGGAGAATGTCCGAAATACGGCTTTGAGAGAACTGCTGCTACAAACTCTTTTCGCTCGAGGCAGAGACCGTATGGCTGAGAGTGTTTCACTTCAGCAGAAGCAATCCCAGAGAGTGCTGGAGCTGGTTGCGGTAAAATCGCTCGGCTTTAGGGCCGTCACAAGCGAGGCATCCAGAGATCCATCTGCAACTGCAGACAGAGCAGCCAAAAGACTAACTTGAGAGAAGTTATCCTGATGTTCTTTCGGAAGATCAGAGAACTCAGGCTCCTTGCCTAGAGACAAGGTAGGCTTAGCTAGCGTGAAGCACAGAGGAGCCCTGAAGAGCCCCGTGCGGCCCAGAAAGGGTTTAGGGTTTAGGGTTTAGGGTTTAGGGTTTAGGGTTTAGGGTTTAGGGTTTAGGGTTTAGGGTTTAGGGTTTAGGTTTAGGTTTTCCAAACTTTTGATTGGACACAGCGCCGAACAAATCAGGGGGGCGGGGGTTGGAGGGGGAGTTATTCGCGCGACCTTAACATTCAGCCCCCACGAGCAAAAACTCAGAGTTCGGTCTTTGTAACGGTCTTAAATTGTAGAAGCAGGGACTCACGTATAACGCGCTGGAACGGAACACCAAAAGAAAAGGTTGGTGGACGATGCTCTGCCGAAGAAGTGTGGACTGCGCCTAAACCCTAAACCCTAAAACCTAAACCCTAAACCCTAAACCCTAAACCCTGAACCCTGAACCCTGAACCCTAAACTTCGGAGCGCCCTGAAATCCGAAACTTTGAAGCCCCAGACCTCGAAGGTCATGGGACTCTTGTTGCTCAGGGTGTAGGGTCTGGGGTTTAGGGTTTAAGGTTTCATGTGACTCGTGGGTAAATGACCGTGGCCGCTGTAGAAGGACCTTGCCCGCCCTCGGTGGCGGTTTAGGACCTCAGGCCCTAAAGAACAAGAGTCGACATCTTCAACCGAAGATAAACAGGGCGGGTCCCAGGCTCCATCAGTTTCAGCTCTCAACGGTATCCTACAAAGGCAACATGTTGTGTTTAGAGAGCTGAGCCGCAGCTTCACGAGCCTCCGACGCGACGACCGGAAACCCTGGAACCTTCCTCCACCCCCCCTAAACCCTAAACCCTAAACCCTACACCCTAAACCCTCAACCCTAAACCTTAAACCCTAAACACTAAACCCTAATCCTAACCCCTAAAGCTCAAAGGTCCTAAACACGGGTTTAGGGTTCATGGTTTAGGGTTTAGGGGATTTAGGGCTTAGGGATGTTCAGGGTTTTTCGGGGCCCTCTCTACACCCTAAACCCTAAACCCTAAACCCTAAACCCTGCACCCTCAATTCCCCGAGGGTGGGGCAGAAGCCACCTGTGGCCGCCCCCGGCAGCTGGAACGCTGCGGAGTCGGCTGCCAGGACGAGATCGCCTTCTGGCACCCATTTTTTCCCCAGGGGCAGGTAGGGGGTGGTTTTTTAGGGCCTTAAGTATATGTGTATGTTCATGTTTTATTTACTTATATGTGTATATATATATATATATTTATTTATTTATGTATAAGTTTGTGTTGAGAAGCTTTGGGGGGGGGGGGGGGGGCTTTAGGTTTTATAAGTTGTTGAAAGGAGTTTTGGGATCCACCAAGGGTTTCCAGATCGTCTTCGCACCTGAAGGGGATTAATTAAGGGCTTTCGGGGATTTATGTATGCAGTCCTGCGTCGACCAGTGCAATAGGAATAACGGGGAGCGGCCAGATGAGGATGTTCTGCTGGACTCACAAACTAAACCCCAGAGTAACCTGGGAATAACAAGGGTGCCCTTTAGGGTTTAGGGTTTAGGGTTTTTTGGGGTTTAGGGTTTAGGGTTTAAAGGGAGCCTAAAACAAAGTGGAATAAGGGCCTACCTCTAGGTCCTAGACAAAATGTCTTCGGGCTGTTAGCACGACGACTGAACGAGACTCGACAGGGGAAGACCTGAATGTCTTAGAAAGTCCTCACACTGCACCGCTCACAAGTAATGCTGCCCTAAACCCTGAACCCTAAACCCTGAACCCTATAAACCCTAAACCCTAGGCCCTGCACCCTAGAGCCAAAACCCTGAGCAAGGGGAGCGATTGTCGTGTCTCTTGAAAATCCACTTAATCGCATGAACAAAGATCGAGCATTGCTTTGCAAATAAAGGCCGAATGAAAGACGGGTTTAAGGTTTAGGGTTTAGGGAGAGTGCTTCAGAACTGCCCCGTGAAGTCGCGATGATGGGACGGATGATCGCCACTGCTCAGGTTGCTTTTGGGACTTCCATGATCCGCTACTGATTGGAGTGACCCATTCTCTTGGACACAAAAGCCACGCACAGCTCAGGACTACCCAACATCCGAAGAAGACCATAAAGTATCAGCCGGAAGGTTGTGAAGTATCACAATGAACGGCAAACAGTCCACATGCACGTCCGCCGGCAGCTGCAAATGTGGCGGTTCACCGTACCGGACCGTTGATGTATTCCATGCGGCATCTTATCAATGTGCTCTGCTTTACCTTAGAATCGAAGACTAATTCAGCTTGTCGCAATAAGCGTCTATACTATTGCACGGATCTGCCGTGTAAAAACCACTCCATGTCGATCTCCGCCCTTGTTGGCTGCTTCGCTGCAAAATTGTTATGTCAAATTTGCTTTAGGGGATTTAGGGTCTAACGGTCAAGGGTTGAGCCCGCGTCCCCTCCCCCCCCCCCCCCCCCCCCCCCCCCCCCCCCCCCCCCCCCGAAACAAACACCTAAAACCTAAAGCCTCAACCTCAACCCTCATAAACCCTAAGTCCTAAGAAACCCTAAGCCCCAAAAGGCCCTAAACCAAAAACCACAAAAACAAAACAAATTAATAACAATTTGACCAAAACAAAACCCTAAAGCCAAACAAGAAACCCTAAGCGCCCCGAACGCCCCGTGCGTTCCACGCGACATGAGCACGCAAGTTGGCATCCCGCGGCTGTGGCGAGGCCCTGGACCTTGCGAGGAAGCTTACTCAGGGTTTAGGGTTTAGGGTTTAGGGTTTAGGGTTTAGGGTTTAGGGTTTAGGCTTGGCCTGTGCCCAGAGCACAGCATATATGTCTTAGGGTAAGTACATGGTCCCTTAATATAGGCCCTGAAAGGGGGCCCCTTATATCCCCTCTTGTATACCCTGCACAGCCCAAGGGCCCACACGACAGAACCCTGAAAAGGAGGGCAAGTGACCGTAAACAGGGCCCAGGAAACAATCCTTAGACTCAAGTTTGGAAGCATGGGCCCTTAGTACAGTCCCTACCCTTGTTTATAGGGATCCGGAGTATGGGCCCTTATGATACAGTGTATATCAGGGTTACATAGCAAGGGCTTTTGAGCCCTTAGTGGGGTTTAGATTGTCGAAGCAGTGGTCGGCTCCTTGGTGTAGCTCTCCATTCCAGCCGTTCCGAAAAGCTCCTTCGCGTAGTTGTACCAAGCGCTGGCTCCAATCCGTTGCCCCGGTAGAAGTCTGTCAAGCACCAAGGTCACCGGCTCGGCGTTGGGGTTTCCAAAACAGGGTTTAGGGTTTAGGGTTTAGGGTTTAGGGTTTAGGGTTTAGGGTTTAGGGTTTAGGGTTTAGGGTTTAGGGTGTTGAGGTTGTCGTTGAAGTCCTCCGCGTCGTGAGTGCCCAGAAACTCTGGACCATTTTGCCGCCATGTGGGCAACAGAGCCCTAAACCCTACCACCCAAAACCCTAAACCCTACACCGAGCACACCCAAAGTTTAGGGTTTCGTGGCTTAGAGGCTCCACCCAAAATCCCCAGACTGCAGAAGCCCGCCCCCCCCCCCCCCCCCCAAAGCCCCTAAAGCCTTCGTGGGCTCTTGGCAGAAAAGGTAAGGAAGTAATATAGGAGTCGGAAGAATTACGAAAAAAACTCCCTTAGACCCCTATATAGATATACTATAATACCCCCCCCCTCTTCCCCCAACCCACCTATAGTAGGTTTCCGACATAATCCCGGAAAAGGTTCGTTTAGACCCCTCAAGCCTGAACCCGAAACCCTTTCAGGGCTGCGGTGCTGGAGTTTGGATTGGGTTGCTGTCCTGACAGTTCTCCCCACACCCTAGCCAAGCCCAAAATTTAAACCCTCTAAACCCTCTAAACACTGTAAACCCTCGAAGCCCTCGAAACCCTCTAAAACCTCTAACCCCCAAACCCCTCCAACCCCCTATAACCCCGGTGGCTGTGCCCCGGGCGACCGCAAGAGTCGGCTGCGGGATCTCTTGCAACAGCATGTTGACCTCGGGCTCGGACCCTGGCACCCCTTCGCCACAAGTTGGATTTCAGGGTTTTGGCCGTTCGTTCTCTTGGCTTGAACGCCCTAAGGCCCTCAACCGTCAAAGTGTGAAGCCCTAACACCATGAAACCCTTGCACCCTGAGGCCCTGACCCTCCCATCCTCCTGATCCCTAAACCCTAAAGCCCTGAACCCTCGAAGCCACTGCAGCCCCTTAAACCGGTCTTCACATCCAAAGCGAAAAGACGAAGAGCTGGCAAAACATCATCATCATCATCATCATCACCATCATCATCATCATCAGCATGAGAATAAAACCCAAAACCCTGAACCCCTAGCCATCTAGAACCCCGCCCCCTAAACCCCAAACCCCAAACCCTAAAACCTAAACCCAAAACCCTAAACCCTAAACCCTATTCCCAGACACAACCCGCCGCGTCCACGCCTCCGAGCACAGCTTCAGCGTCCTCTCATGCGCCTCGCGTGTGTCTAAGGTCAAAAGTATGGGCGTCGAATATGGGCCCTTAGCCCTTTTTTCGGGGGAGTATAGTAGGGACCCTTAAAGGTACATATAGGGTATATAGCAGGTATATAAGGATCTTAACGGTACATATAGCGTATAGAACAAGTACAGGGTGTATGAGGATCTTAAAGGTACGTATAGGGCATAGACTAGGTACAGAAGGATCTTAAAGGTACATATAGGGTATATAACAGGTATATAAGGACCCCGGGGTTAAGGGGCCCATACTAGGGGCACATGGTTTCAACCTTAGAGATATGGGGCTGTCCGAAGCTGTGCAAGTTAGGGTTCTGCGGTTTTAAGGGTTTCGGGTTTAGGGTTCCGGGTTTTGAGTTTAGGATTTAGTTTGGGGTTTAAGGGTTAAGGGTTTAGGGATTAGGGTTTGGAGTTTTGGGGTTTACGGTTATCGGGAGTGCCTGGACTCCAAAACGCCCATATTGATGGCCGATAGGCCCCCCCAGGAGCCAGGAGTATGAGAACATATGAAGAAAGGGAAACCATCACTGAGGATATTGTCAGGTTCAAAGTTCTTTGAAGAACCCCACAACCTATTTTTTGTAGGTTGTGACTACAAACCCCCCTTCCCCCTTGCCGCTGGAATCTTAGGAACCTGCCTAGGGCTTTAGGGTTTCGGGTTTCGGGTTTAGGGATGGTGCATATAAGGGAAGGTTGAGGGCTTAGGGCTGAAGGTGCAGGTTCAGGCTTCAGATAGTGGAGTTCGGGTGGGTGGCTCTTTGCTTCATGGGTCGCAAAGGTGCTTGCTGTGTAGGGTTTAGGGTTTAAGGTTTAGGGTTTGGGGTTTAGGGTTTAGGGCTCTTCAGGGGGAGATTGCAGCGTGAGATGTGAAACCAGCCACTGCAGTGCCCAATATGTGCCATTCTGAGTTGACCAACTTGTCAGTGATTCAGGGCTTTACATTGGAGGTAGCTTGGAATACAACTTGAACCCTATAAACCCTATACACCCTATAAACCCTATAAACCCTATAAACCCTATAAGCCCTATAAACCCTATAAACCCTATAAACCCTATAAACCCTATAAACCCTATAAACCCTATAAACCCTATAAACCCTATAAACCCTATAAACCCTATAAACCCTATAAACCCTATAAGCCGTATAAACCCTATCAACCCTATAAACCCCTAAACCCCTAGCCTCCGCAAAGCTGCATGGCCAGGAGGCTCCTTTTTCAGCGGTGCCTGGACGAGTGCCTCGAAGTCCTTGATGTCATGCTCCACGTAGCTCAGGCCCATCCTCGGTTTGTCCTTTAAACCCGGTTGAACATATCGAGATACAGGGTCCGTTACAAAACCCCCCAAAAAATATCCCAAAAAAGCCTGAACAACCCTTGAAAAAAAAAAAAACTAGGATGGCCCTTTAGAACCCCTCTGAAAGCTATTCCTGAACATAATCCCCTTAAACCCGATAAGGGAGAATATCGAATATGCCAAAACCTTACCTAGAACCCATTTGGAGATAGGGTCAACCCTAAACCCTAAACCCTAAACCCTAAACCCGAAACCCTAAACCCTAAACCCTAAACCCTAAACCCTAAACCCTAAACCCAAACTAAGAAAAAACCAAACAAGCAATTCTCCCAACAAACGCCAGCCGAGCATCTTCTCCAGGTAGGCCTTTAGACCCTTTGCAAAACTAGGACTGCCCCTTAAAACCCTCTAAATGCCCTAAACCCTAAACCCTAAACCCTAAACCCTAAACCCTAAGCCCTAAACCCTAAACCCTAAACCCCAACAAGCAAACAAAAGCCGAGCATCTTCTCCAGGTAGGCCACTTCCGCCGTCTGTGAGGCACCCAGGCCACTCATCGGTCTCACCCTCTCCTTGACGATTTCGGGTTTAGGGTTTAGGGTTAGGGTTTAGGGTTTAGGGTTTAGGGTTTAGGGTTTAGGGTTTAGGGTTTAGGGTTTAGGGTTTAGGGTTTAGGGTTTAGGGTTTAGGGTTTAGGGTTTAGGGTTTAGGGTTTAGGGTTTAGGGTTTAGGGTTTAGGGACTACTCTCCTTGACGCCATCATCGCACAGGTCCTTCCAGGAGACCTTGCCTTCGCCTGCACCATTCTTGGGGTTGATGTTCAGGGTTCAGGGTTCAGGGTTCAGGGTTCAGGGTTTAGGGTTTAGGGTTTAGGGTTTAGGGGTTAGGGGTTAGGGTTTAGGGTTTAGGGCCTATTCAACATGATCATTTTTGTTCCTTATTGGGGTTAAGTATTCAGAAAAGTGTAACATGATTCTCAACAATGACCCAGTCACCTTGCCGGCCTTCGAAGTAGAAGACATGCAAAGTTTGCCGGAGCTGCGCTGCCTTGTGCACGTGCTTCCGCCACTCCTCGAACCACCTGGGGGCTTTGTTAAATTAGGGGGTACCTTATTGTGGTCCAAGGGCATCCCCAACCCCTAAACCCTAAACCCTAAACCCTAAACCCTAAACCCTAAACCCTAAACCCTAAACCCTAAACCCTAAACCCTAAACCCTAAACCCTAAACCTAAACCCCAAACCCCCACCTGCATCCCCAGGGAGCTCTTGCATGGTTTTGCAGACACCGCGCTTCCGCCATGCTCAGCGCTTCGGCCAGCTCCCTTCGCCACTCCAACTCGCCCTGGTCACGCTTAATCCTTCGTTGCTGAGTTCACAAGCCCCCAAACAAGGGTTTAGGGTTTAGGGTTTAGGGTTTAGGGTTTAGGGTTTAGGGCTGCGGAGTTCATAAGCCCCCAAAAAAAGTGTACACTTTTTAGTTTTGTAGAGATTATAGTATCCAAAAAAAGTGTACACTTTTGGTTTTGCAGAGATTATAGCATCCCAAAAAGTGTAAAGTGTACTCACTCGGCTACTAAGAATCACCAACACCTGCCCCATCGCCTCTGCATCGGCCCTCTTGAAGGCGAGCATGTGCTGCCGAGCTTGCTGGCTCTCAGGGGTGTCATGCTCTTCATGAACCAACTCGATCACGCTCAGATACGTGGACGCGGGCAGGGTGCCATAGATCGCATGGCACCAGCACTGCCCCGGCGTGTCTGGGTTCTCAGCATGCTGGCCTTAGTAGCACAGTAACCACATTAAAATAGGGACACTTTTTTTCGGGTGGTTACTTTATAAGGGCACCCATAACCAAAAAAAAAAAAAACAGGGTAAAGGGTACCACTGGGATACCAAGTGGCCCAGACCCGACGTGCGGTCCGTCAGAAAGACGCAGGCCAGCGAGCAGGTCTCGCGCGCCATAGCGATGGAGACTGCTTCATCCCAGAGTGTGCTATACTTGCCCGGAAATGACCTAGGACGGCCCTTAAAACCCTCCGAAAAAGATTCCTAGACATGTGATCCTCTTAAACCAATTAAACCTAGAACATGTTTAGATATAGGTTCCCTTACAAACCATATTCCTGAATATGATCCTCTTAAAACCCAATAAGGGAAAATGCAAGATGTCCCCCTAAACCCTAAACCCTAAACCCTAAACCCTAAACCCTAAATCCTAAACCCTAAACCCTAAACCCTACACCCTAAACCCTAAACCCTAAACCCTAAACCCTAAACCCTAAACCCTAAACCCTAAACCCTAAACCCTAAACCCTAAACCCTAAACCCTACCGAGTGACACGATGCAGTCGCTGGCTCCGGCGTTCACCCGCCCGGGAAAG